GGCCTGTGCCAACAATAGTGTGGCCAGCAGGGACCAGGGCACGGCTGCTTCACCATGGTCTCACCAGGGCCTGCAGAGGAATCTCAGCTCCAGTGCCTGGAGCACCTCCTCCCCTCCTTCGCCACTGGTTGGTGTCCACATGTCGTTTCCCTCAGCAAAAACCCTGTGACTTTGTTTTGATTTTGTTCTTAAATATGTCATCACAGAGGCATTACCACCATCTCTAATTGGCCCAGTTTTGGCCAGCAGCATGTCCATCTTCAGAGCCATCAGGGATTGGCTCTGCTGGAAGCTTCCAGTAGCTTCTCACAGAAGCCACCTCTGTGACCTCTCCGCTACCAGAAACCAGGCTGAGCAAAACCAATATAAGGTTAAAGGCGACTGATGAGAATTTGCATGAACTGTTTGTGAAAAACTGTCATTTAATTCTCTAACTTTCCGAAATTCCAATAATCTTCAAATGCATACCTTAATTTTAATATGTGCCTATGAAAGTATTTGAGACTTCCCCTGCTCCCCTCTACATATTTAAGAAGGGATTTTTTAGAACTACAATAACTGTCTCACCCGTTTATATCAGATAATCTGTTTATTATCCAATTACATTTTTTCTAAATAGGAAATTAAAAATATTTTAAATACATATATATGTGTGTATGTGTGTGTGTGTGTGTGTGTGTATGTGTAAGTGGTATCTGTGGTAGTGATTTTTGGTGCTACTTTTAACTTCAGAAGCATTATTTCTTAAGTGACAATAGTCTTGGCTTTGTTATTTCCACAAATATGTAAAAAAATGTATATGCAGAGCTCTGTGTGTTAAGATGGAAAGATTTCTACTTCAAAATGACTGAAATAAGTTTGTTAGAAATTAATTTCAGGTTCCCACCTTAAATGCATATTTAGGTTCCTGCATATACATTTGGGTAGAGTTTGTGCTGTGTGTCTCATCTGATTATGTGTGAGCAGCCAAAGACAGCACACTCCTGCAGACTGTATGCAAAGCAGCATTTGCATCTAAGTCGTAAGTCTAGAGTAAGTTTTTAAAAATTCCTGTCAGAGATTTGGCTTCTCAGATGGGCAGATTACTGATCAGAGTTTTAGGACTCATTACAAACCTTTTATTTGTTAAAGAGATTATTCATTAAGGATGTGTACATGGGTGGATTTGAATGGAACATCAGGACTCTTTGGTCTTTCACAACAACAATTTCTTTCCCTTTGGGACACAGTTGTTTCCTTTGTATGCATTCATGCCATAGTTACAGTGTTGAGATTTCCCTTGACTGCAATTTAGCTGGGAGGGGGAACTTGTTCCTTCTTCTTAAGTTATGAACATGGGATTCTGGTCAGAATAATGCTCTTTTGCTTTAGAAGGGTAACCAAGTGTATACTTGGCAAAAATAAGTCATTAACTTTTTTTCTTGGAGCCATTGGGATCTTGTCCAGCTTCCTGGGAATGACTCGTAGGGTTATTGGATTTTTTGTTAACTGGGAGAGGTTTCCCAGCTTTTTTACCATATCCAGCTTGCCTGTTCTGGCCTGCTTTAAAAAGGTAGACCCTTCTTGCTAAAGGCATTTATAAGCTGCACAGTCCTTGTCAGGTCTTGATGTAATTTCTGAGGTGAATCATCTTTGCCCATTTCTCATGTATAGATGGATTTCTTCCCTATTCAATTAGAATCAAAGAAATGGATATCAAGCCTTATAATTTGTTTCTACTAAACCAAACAGATGGTAGGAGGACCACTTTCCTCTTGTTAAAAAAAAAAAAAAAGTAAAAAAGAAGCTTTTGGGTCTTGCAATTTAGTTATCAGTCAAATTATCTTATTTTTCGCTTAGATACTTTCTTGAATTATGGAGTGCTTTAGGAGCAGCGCTGCTAAACGATGTGCAATTAATAATATTCATAATATTTTCCCAACATAAAACACAGAGAGGACATCAACCTGGTCAAGTGAGCGAGTCCAGGGAAGGGTCACTAAGATGATTAGAGGGATGGAGCACCTCTCCTGTGAGGGAAGGCTGAGAGAATTGGATTTGTTCAGCCTGGAAAAGAGATGGCTTTGAGTGACTTAATGCAGCCTTTCAGTACTTGAAGGAAGCCTATAAGAATGATGGAGAAAGACTTTTTGCAAGAGCAGGTAGTGACAGGATGAGGATGAATGGCTTCAAGGTCAAAGACAGAAAGTTTAGATTAGATATTAGGAAGTAATCTTTTCTAGGAGGGTGGTGATGCTCTGGAACAGGTTCCCCAGGGAAGCTGTGACTCACCAGCCCTAGAGGTGCTCAAGACCAGTCTGGATGGGGCTCTGAGCAACCTGGTCTAGTGGGAAGTGTTCCAGCCCACAGCAGCAGGGTTGAAAATACATGATCTTTAAGGTCCTTTCTGACACAAGCCATTCTACAATTTTATGAACATTGCACATCCTAGATGATATTAAAAAGGTATATTTGCTTAGTATAAGTGGAGCAGAGTTTCTGGAATTTAAATATTTATTGAAAATAGAGAATCTGTGTTTTAAACAAATACATAGATGTAAACTATTTCCAAACTAATAGGTGCTGGACATCTTCCAGAGACGTGTTCAGTCTTTGATAAAATTACTCTTAAAAAGAATGGGAACTTCTCAGTGGTTTGAATTAGAGATAGTGCTGTTTGTTAGGGGCAAAGAAAAATAAAAGAAATAATTTTAATTGTTCTCAGGAAAGGAAGTTGCTCTCTCTAGTAAGAATCTAAAATTAAATTGTGCTGCAGCACATAATCTTATTTTAGCCTTGTAGGAAGCTGTGCTCATATTCTTTGGCCAAAATTTAACTTATATGCATTTTTCTTTCTGAAGTGATTTGTAATCCGTCTGTAAAAGAGAATATTGTCTAAATGTGGAATTTCTGGTTTTTAAGTGATTGAAGAAAGCAGAAATTGCAATCTTTACATTATTGTATATTTTCCTGCAGTAGACTTAAAATGCAAACCGTTCTGTGAGCCTATTTATGAGGCATGAAATTACTTTTGTTTTACTTAACCAAGTGGCTGAAATGTTGCCAACAGTATGACTGGAATGTTATTTATTTGGTCTATTTCTGCAGTCTTTCTTTGTAGGACTGTACACATGCCACAACTAGGGGTCATTTACTTAAAACTGACTAAAGTAATACCCTCAAAACTGTAGTTATTATTCGGGGGCTTTATAAAAAAAGATTTATCATGTTCTGCACCTTCTGTGCTCACACTTTCCCCCTGTCTCTCTCTCCCTTCATTAGCTTAATCAGAATTGCTTTTGGAAAAGATTTGGAGAGCTGCTGTTTTTACTTGTGCTTTTGTGTTACTCGATTTCTTGATTTAATACTGTAACCTCTTACATTGTGTCTGATTGAAATTTATTCATTTTCTTGGCTGGGTAACTACTTTTTTTTATAATGACATAGTTGTTGAGTATGTTTTTCTATCTACATGTTTATCATATTTTATGGTCCCAGTACCAGACATCCAACTGGTTTCAAGAAAACTGTGGGTGTTTTAACATTTCCAACGGAAGGGTAGAATGGGTGGGGAAGGTTTTTGGAATGCTGATGAATAACATTTGACTCTTGGAAATGTCTTAAGGCCATAGACTTCCCTCCTATGCTTGGAAGGCTAGACTTAAAGACCTCTGGTCTTGAAAGTATGCTTGTGTTTTATTTCCTTTGTAACTGAGAGAAAAGTGAGGAAAGAGTTGAAATACAGATCATGGATACCATAGCTTAATGCAGGAACTTTCTGTGGATGGTGGTCTTGGTTTGTGTCCTTGCTAATCCATCCATACCCCGTTAACCCCTTGGCTATTAGTCAGAGATCTTAATTCTGCTCCTTTTATTTCCTAGATGTACTGAGTTTCAAAAGTTGTATCAGCTGTGAGATGTTAAAGTCTGTAATGTCTGTAAGCGTAGCAGAAATTGCCTTACAGTAGCACATGAGTTGGGAACTGCAGTAACTTGCAGTTCAGGGTATTTTCAACAGCAGAGTGACAATTCACAACAGTTTTCCCCTGCAATTTCTTCTTCTTGCTTGGGTACAAAGCAGAGTAGTTACAGACTGGGTTGTTCCCTTGCTGTTGTGAAAAGCAGATATCTCCTGCTTCTCACTTCTGTGGTTGTAGTAAAATATGTTCTCCTATCTCTGCATTTGCAAAAATTATCAACTCTTACCACAAGAGAGTATCTTAACTTGTTTGAAGTTTTGACAGACACTTTTGCTTTACTATGTGTGACACTTTTTACTTTTGGATACTGATTTGTTTTCTTTATTAAATGTTTCTCCTTTATTTATTTCCATCTTTGATAATTTAACTGATAAATATTTGTTGTCAATATTAACACTGCTTATATTTTATTATCCTGGCTTATATATAAATGTTTCTATGGAAATAAATCAGTTTTGTAACATAAAAAATATTAAACTTTGGTTGAAGTTACTTCTTAAAATTAATAGCTACTTGGTGGTCAAATACCTGACAGCTGTATAGTGGAATATTACTTTGATTTTCTACCAATCAACAATAAAGTACGACTTAATTCCTACAAATTCCTGAGATATAAACTCTTAGTCATGACCTAGCATGCATACACTAATAAGAAGCTAACAGGCTAATAAAGCTGACATGAAGGGAGCCTGCAAGAAAGATGGAGAGAGGCTATTTGCAGAGCATGTAGTGACAGAACAAGGTGGAATGGCTCCAAACTGAAAGAGAGTAGGTTGAGGTTAGATATTAGGAAAAAGTTCCTCCTTCTGAGGATGGTGAGTCACTGACAGGTTTCCCAGGAAAGCTGTGGATGCCCCATCTCTGGAAGTTTCAAGGCCAGTTTGGATGGGTGTCTGAGCAACTGAGACTAATGAAAGCTGTCCCTGTCCGCAGCAGGAGAGTTGAAACCAGGGGATTCTTTGGTTCTGTTATTATTATGTCCATACAATACACATTGTAACAGGTCAGTAATGGATTCTGTCACTCATTTCTCTTGTACAGCCCACACATCATCTTTCTGTCACAAAGTGTACTGCCAGGAGGAAGCCATCTCTGTGGAACTCGTCTGTGCCACGAAATTGCTCATGCTTGGTTTGGACTGGCCATTGGTGCTCGTGATTGGACAGAAGAGTGGTTAAGTGAAGGGTTTGCCACTTTTTTAGAAGATATATTTTGGGCTAGGGCACAACAGGTAAGGTGATGGCATGTTGCTTCAAAATTAATGTGAAAATCAAAATTATATGTGAATTAGATATAAATTAAACCTCAAAATACAAACTATGCTATGAAGTAACATATTTTAAAATGGTATTGGAATTTGCATGCTTACTTGATTTTAAAAAAAAAGTGATCCGCAATGAATACACATCTTTACAGAGGTAGGGGTTAGTGCAAATGAGAATAGAAACATCTGATTGTCAATTATACCTTCCCACAAATTTTATACTCAATTATTAAAATTCAATCATCAAACAAATACTGTGTATTCTTTCCACTTCTGTTGTATACCTCAAACTGGAAGAACCAACACTCTTGCATATTGTAATATTCCAGGTACCTAATTAAAATTATTTGGTTTCATCCAATGGATGATCATGAAATGTACCTCAAAGCAAAATAGAAGATGATTTTAAGTGAGGCACACTGGCACTTACACTCTTTTTTCCTCTTCTACTTCCCACCAAGTTGCTGTCCTGTCAGAGACTTTGGAATTGCTGCCCCCATTAAGGTGAAAAGTTCATAAGTTGCATGTCAGCTAGAAAAGTGTTTTTCTGATGCAACTCTTACTTTTGTATTACCTCTGCTACTTCAAGCATTTCGTGTCTCACTCCTTCCTGTACCTTTTGTCAGGTTCTACCCCTTTAGCCTGCAGATTTCCACCTGAGGAAAAACACGGCAGAACTGGGAACTGACACAATACACTCTTCTGAACCTCCATTCTATTAAGTATCTGGCATATTTATAGCACCAAACTAAACAGAGTGCTTTGTTAAGTACCATATTTCTGGAAAAGGAAAAAGAGAAAAGCTGTCTAAACACTTGGTTTTTCCCTTTTGGTTCTAAAACTCACATTGTGCCTTCACATTGAACATAACTACACTGCTGTGAGCTGTTCATATTAATTATTTTGCTTTTGTTAGTCACTTGAAAGCATTTTGATTGTAGTAGACATCTTCCTTGGAGCTGAGTGTAAAGGAGAAAAACAAAAGAAGTGTGATTAGTTTCCTTGTTACCATGTAAGGCATACCTTTTGAACATTATTGAGTAGTTTTGATGCAATGCAGTCATAGAATTTAAGGATTATGAATGCATTCCATAGCGCCTGAGAGTAATTTCAGTTGTGATTGAATGTAATGCAGGGTAGTATTAGTTGCTTTTGCTTTCCCCAGTTTCTCATCTATTCTTATAATAAAGAAACATAAATTATAATTATGTTCAAAACCATTCTTTGTCAGCTGGCAACCTGGAATTTATTTCATAATTAGGAATCTCTGTTAATATTACACAAATGGGGGAAAACACAACAGGGAACTTTCAGGAGTATGGCAGAAGTAGTAGGAAAGAGGAATGAAACCAGAACATGATGTAGCTCTTTGTTCTCAATTTGGGAAGGGTAGGGATGCAACCAGAACCTCTATGCCAGGTATCTCTACTGTAAATTCAGTTCTTTCTTGCTATTCACTAAAGGGAAAACAACATGCCCATCTCTCTCCTCAGTCAGAATTATTTGACTGACTATTGATTTGGTGTACACAATGAGGCTTTTGTTTTCCTTGGTGCTGCTATTATCTCTCATAGCAGCAACTATTATTGTTTTATCATGAATATTGATACCCTTTCCTGCCTCTTCTGCACATTAAAGAGAAACAAACCAAGCTTCTTGTTCTGTAAATTATTGTCTGTTGGGAAACAGCAGTCAGTGATCTGTGTTTTTTGTTTACTAAACAGCTGTCACATGATGAAATAAAAGGGCAACAGGAATTGAAAGCTTTACTTCGCTGGCGCCGACTCAGAGATGAAGTGCAAAACTCTGAAGAAGAGCTGCAAGTTTTAAGGTAACAATATGATAGCACCATCATTGCTTTTATATTCTCACTCTCCCCTGTTTTCCACATTTTCTCCCTTTAAAAGATATACATCCAAATAATCTGATTAAATCCACTGCATTTCCTTATTTCCTTCTAATAAAAAAAAAGAAAATATAAATTAAACTGACTGGGTTATACATCTTGACTATAATGCAATTGCTTCTCCTTTTGTTATAGAAAGCTTTTATAAAACCATGGGATTATTTTGACATGAAATGTTTATGAGCAGTTTACAAGAGCTTCTATTCAGGGAAAAAATAAAAGAACATTTCCTGAAAAAGTTCACTATTGGAAGGCATAATAGACTAATTTTCTGTAGCTGAAGGCAAGTACATATATTAGTATCATATTTAACTGCCAAGCTAATGAAGCTTTAAAAAACAAGGAAAAAATATAGTACATAAACTTTTTAAACCTACTTTCTAATTAGAAATTGCTAATATTTATATTTAAAATAAATTTTTGGTCTTTAGGTATTAGATGCTAAACTCAAGGCTCCTTTATATATAGCTAAAGACAGTCTTCCTTTGCCAGTGATTAATAATCTGTTCTGATTAGTGTATTAGGAATTTTCAAACAGTCTTTGATCTTGAGTGTCTGTCTAATTCAAGATCCACTGAGACTCTACGGCTTGTCTCCTCTCAATCTTTGACCAAGAATAATGAGTTACCTAATCCTAGTTCAAATTAGCCATGATTTGTACAGGAACAAATGGAAGTACAGGGACAGATTTAAAACAATTTTATAGTCTGTTCTCCTGATCTGAAATAAAGGCAATACACATAAAGACCATCCTAAGTGGGTTCTCACTAACATGCTCTTAAAGGTTCCAATGAAAGTTGTAATAAGAGAAAATACAGCTTGTCATAAACTGTATTAGTTTCTCAATAAAAATAGTGTTAAGAGTTAAAAATTGCTTCCTAATGCGCAACTGAAATCCTGTTTATTTCAAACAATGTAGATTTCATTTCTTTCTTTCACCAAGTGGAAGTTAAGAATAAATTGATGCCCATCTTCTAGATTATCAACTTTTATATGTTTTTGGAAGACTGTTGCCATTTCATTTGTTTAAGGTCTTCCCTTCTTCTTGTGCTTGCCCAGCAGTACCTAAAAGGCTCTACTATATTTGGATGCTCTAGAGAGTGTTCACCAGCATAGAAGTTCTTCTCCAAGGCCTCATGTAATCCAAAAGCATATCACCATCTGTAGTCTTTATGTTTACTGATGCATTGTGTATCTATGTGTAAGCAGAGTCAATTTTTGTGTAAATGTTCAGGTGTGTGATTTGACCATAGTCAAATGTTATATGATGTAAATTTTCAAAATAATTTTTCTAAGTGCCATAATCCTTTGTAGTTTGAAACTCAAGGTTTGATTTATTTTGAAAATGAAACTTACGCTTTCTATTGTATATTTATTAGACAGAAGTATATATTATATATATTATATTATATATTATATGTATTGGACAAAATTCTATATTTATTAGACAGAATAATAAGCATTTTTCTTACTTTTTGGATAGTAGTATTCCTAATGCTAATACAAAAGAATGAAAAATTAATTTCTTATTTGAAAAATGTGTCTCCAGTAAACACTTCAGGCCAGGCACATGATGCCACTTTGTGATTCTGGCCACTTCTTCTCTGATATCTCTAGCTCCTTGTGATTGCATTTAAGGACTTCCTATTGATTTCAGTCAGATATAAATATTTTCTACTAATTTTGTGTCACAGATGTGAATAAATTCTCTTTTTGCATATTTACTGGGATTTTTTTTCTTTTCTTTATCCTTCTGAAAATATGTCCTCATGCTGTCCAAAATTGGCATGTAAGAGAGAAAATCTCAGTCCTGGCCCTTGGTCTGGGTTGTGAGTCTGTACTGAGGCTTGGGCTGGTTCTAACTTGTGTTTTTATACAGAATATTAAAGGCAAATTATAACTATTTGTTACTTTTTCCGAATAATTCAACAAAAAAAAAAATCAACCTACTCACTCTTCCCAAGCATAAGCTCATTCTTCCATTAATTTTTTTGCTCCCTGCTGATCATATAATTATTTGTACTTTCTCCTGACAGCTAGAATAATCCACCCCAAAGTTACTGGCTGATCCTATCAAATGAATACCTTTTTAGAGTGGGTGAAAGCCACTCAGCAAACTGACGATCAGCCTGATGTTTCTTCTTATGGTTACTTGGTATTATGTTATAGTAAGTAGAATGGCATAAGCTACCTGTAAAAAAAGAGGTTTGGTAAGAAAGAAATTGGGTGTCTTTTCAACAGGCAGCATCTCTGAAAGGCAGCATGAGCAAATCTTAACACTGAAGGAGGCGTTTGTGGAGCATCCATGCTCATACAGGATGAGACTTCCAACAGAGCTATGCCTATTTTCTCACGGAATTTGAAAGAAACCTGCAGGGATAAAAGCACCCATGAAAAATGTCTTGGCACTTGTTTTGCTGGTGGTCATCAACACCAGCACTCTCATCCAGCACTCTCATCTCTCCTGTTAGGAAAGCAAAGAAGAGCATTCTGTTCTGCAGAATAAAACTGGTGTTTACATTTGTTTTGTCTCCTGACCCTTATGGCTGAACTGCATCTTGTGGTTATTCATTAAGGCAAGCCAATGTTAATATCTAGCTCTAAATTAGTCTCTGAGTTCCACTTGTGTCAGGTCCATTCTGCCCTGAAGCAATGCTTCTGACTGCTCTGTAGGTCAGATTTGAAGTGTTCTGTAGGTCAGATTTGAGGAGTTTTATTCTATCTGATAGGAAATGTACTTTCAGATGGTGTCTTGCAGTCTTTGCATAAGTTTTCATGACTACCTGGCACATCAGAGCATTTAATGGCCAAGGACATCCCAGTGCATTGTACTTTTGCTAGTGCAATATACTCATCTGCCCAGCAAGTAGAAAGCAGCATCTTCTACCTCCTTCAGAAATTTGCTGGTATCTAAAATGGGCCAGATAGCATCTTGAATATATTGAGACATCTTGCCTTTAGCATTATGATAGACTTTATCTACCAGATTAGGTACAGCTTTTGTAGGTCAGTGTACCAAAATTTCAATATTTATACTTTCAAAGTGTGGTAAATACAGTAAGAATGGCTTTAAAATAGTGTTCTGAAGTCCTGATAACAGAGAACAGAGTTACATTCTAAATAGTTACACTCCTTTACAGACATTTTGAAGAATATATATACAGCCTTTGCAGAGGAATGTGTATATATTTTTTGTATGGAATTCTTCATTACTATCATCAAGATTCAATACTTCTTTCTGGTCAGCCCTAGCATCTACATAGGCACAAAGTCAGAGGAGAAAGGAAGTATGGTTGCCTAATTTAGAATATTTGTGATTATGAGAGAGATTTCAATTTAATGTGGATTCTGTAGCCTGTGCGCAAGTTCCATTTTTTAAAGTCAATAGACGAAGGTATTTATAAGCAAAATGAAGCAGGTTTTATATATGCAGAGAATGATGACAAGTCATGTATGGAATGTCAGTAGGTCTTCCTTCCAGGAGACTGATCCAGAAGGGAAATAGCTGGATTTCTGCTTTCCTACAGCGGCTCTGCAATGTTTACACAGTCTGAAAGAACTGGAGTTGCCATAGAATAAGAAAACTGTTACTGGTATTGGTCTTTCAATGTTGAGGGAAGATTTGGAAAGATATTTATGAATGATAACATGGAAGAGGACTGTGTGAGATTGTGTAAAATTCGGTCTGTTTTTTTCCCTCTATTTTATTCCAGTTACATTTTATGAAAATTTTCATTATAGTGGATTTCATATGCACAGGCCCTAATAATAATGTCTAAAACCACCCTGATTTAGCACTCTGGACAAAACTGTAATAAGAAACTGTGACACAGATATAAAAAAGGAAGAACACTTTTCTCAAATGAGACACAGATATGGAAAAAAATTTGATCACAAAATTCTTGAAATCACTCCTGCATGAGTGGTGTGGTTTGAAGGATCTTGAATTGCTGTGGCCCTATTCTACAGAAATGAAGGGAAAGACATGTGGTTTCAAAGGCTGGCCATTTAAAAATCCACATTTAGAATTAGAGAGTTTGCTTTAGTCACAGGGTTGGGCAGCTTTTCTCAGATTACTGTTAGTTGGGATAGTTTCTGAATGGAATAAAAAAATCTATATGTTCTTCAGTCCTATGCCTGTGAAGGCACTTCTTACAAATTAAGAAAAAATGCTTGTGTAGCTTCTCTTTAGTTTCATTCTGTGCTCTTTAGAGCCTAAAAGTCCTCCACACTTAACTGTTGTATATTTGTGGCATACCAGATGCCATATTACATTTTAAATTAGGTAGTAAATAGTATTTTATTTCTAGATATTATTGTCTGTAAACCTCAAACCTGTGTGCAAAATACTTCCTTTTTTAAAATTTGAACTGCATTTCTTCCAACCCAAATGGAAAATTGAAAATCAGAACACTTTCTGCAGCAGTCCATTGCATGCAGATTAAAGGGGTTATTCTTGCAAGGGTAGTCATGTAAGCTGTTAAAAAGTTCAGGTGAAAAAAAAGAGAAAACTCTAGTTAAACGTAGTGAACTTCACTGTCTTCCCCTCCACTTCCTCTTCCCTTAAAATGTTGGTTTTGTTTATTTTTTTCTCTTTGTTCATAAGGTGTCTCCACTGAAAAATGACATGCAACCTGATGTCATTCTGGCTGTAAAAAGACTACACCAACCTACTGATGAATTTTATTTAGAAGAAAATTGATTTGCTTGACTGTCTAAGTAAATTTATATACTTATGGTGAAGAAAAAGACTAAACTAGTCACAGGTGTTTAAGGTTACTATGCCATACAATGCTTTCAACTATCAGAACTTGTAAAGTATGACTTATTTCTTTAGTATTTTATCCAAAACTTAATTTATGTGTTTCCATTTTAGGCCCAAAAAGGAGAGCACAGGAGAATTGAGTGAGTCTGGAGCCTCTGTTGTCAAATATGGTCTTAAAGCAGAAAAAATCTTCATGCAGGTTCATTATTTGAAGGTGGGTGTTGTCAGCTGATTTTTTACTGAGATTGCTTTATGAATATCATAAAGATTTCAGTCTTCTAGATAGCAGAAAATTCATAGCTTCTGCCTTAATTTTTTGCAGGGTTATTTTCTTTTGCGATCTCTGGCAAGGACGATAGGAGAGGTCTCATACCTTGCATCTTTACGGAAATTTGTCTTTAAGTTCCACGGGCAGCTTGTCCTTTCTCAGGTATTGTGCTTGGGCTTGTTCCTCACCTTTGGGTGAGGAAATCCAAATGTTTGGACTGGCTACCTAGATCATCACTTCTGGTTGTGATGTAAGGGGAGAGGCAATAGTAATTTCACAATATAGTTAAAATTCCCACCTGGTAGAAGGCAGGTGACACCGAATGGCATCCTGCTAGTATCAAATAATATAAACAATTAGTGATTTTTTTTTTAACATGATACCTCAGAAGGCCAATGTTCATAGGTACTGATGTTCTCAAAGATAGGGTCATTTACCATACTGGAATTATTTCCTGTGATCTTTTAGCTTGTGGTTTTTGGCTGTGATCAGTCCAATATTTTCCCTGATTCCTCTCTGTTTCTGAAAGAGAAGAAATATACTTCTGAATTTATTTTCTTTTTCTCTGCATGCTATTTCATCCCATGCTTCTAATTTCAACCTATTTCCTATAAGGACAAAGCCAAGTAGGGTTATAAGTAGAAATTTACCTTCTGCTAGGTCTTTCTGTAAAAGTAATGTACCTACTTGCTCTAGTTTTGTTTTGATTTAGAAAATTACATAGCTCTCTGAGCCCAAAGTTCTAGGAATCCTGTCACTGGTGATGAATCCAGCTTGCACAAATAGCAGTGTGGGTTCTTGCTTCAGTAATGCTGTGAAAACAACCATTCATGGGGGTGTCTGTGGACCAGGTCACTGAACTCATCATGGTAAAAAACATGCCTGGAACAAAACCCACAACACAACAAATATTTTGCATTGCTAGAAGAGCAGTGTGATGACAGTGGGGGGTGACAGAAAAGAGAAGAGAAGGGCTATGAGTGACTTTCTGAAACCACCTTCTTTGCTGAAGCTGTCTTATGGTTGAAATACCTGAGAATATTCAGGACAGTGATAAATGTCTCCTTGAAACATTGAGTAAGGGTCTCTGATTTTGTGTAACCAAAGTCTAACACTTGGTGTTTCTTCCAGCCACAGTGATTTTTCCCTCGCATGCATACTGTTTTGAATCTAACAGGGTGAGATGTATGCCCAGGTATCTTAAAAATAGATTATGGACTTGTGATTTCTTTTGTATGTCAAGTCACTCAGAAGTTAGGAGCAGTAGCTCTAAACTCAGCATTTCTGCCCTGTGGTGGAATGTTTGGGGAGTTAAACTGCTGCAGCTGTTTTCCTGTGCCATAAGCAGTTTCATTTGACATAGTGTGGAAAATGCCAATGACTATATGTGCCTTTTCTACATTAGGGTGTTCAAAATCATAAAAATGATGCCTTACTATTACATAGCTGGAAGAATTTTTAACATAAGAGAAGTCATAAGACTGCTAACAACAAGAAGAAGCCCAGCGTTTTAAGCTGGTGGTAAGAAAGATGCTCAGATTTTGGTAAGAAAATGTTAACTTGTTCCTCCTGGTTGATGTGGGGTGAGTTTTGTTAGTAGACTGAATGCTGCAAAATATTCAGCAGACTGTACTGCTAGTCATGGTAGCTAGCTAACACATACACTAGAGAATTCTCTCTTTGTCTAGATATGAAGTGTCAGTTGGTAGCTTATGTACTCCAATCTCCTAAGATTAAATACTACACCCAGAAACATCCATTTTAGTTATTGGATAAAAAACTGCTCAGTGTTTTGTTATCGAATTACTGGAGCAAAAGTTAAACTTCTGTTTCTTTGGATACTTTTTATTTGGATATGTGCAATATGTCCATACCTATGTGCTTAATATATGTAAAGAAAAAGAAAGGTGCTTTTCTTCTTTTAGAAATACCACCTGATACGGTGGAGAAAGAGTGTTATACATTAAAACTTCTATTGTTTGCTTTTGTGCTTTTACTGTGTCTACCATCAGCCTAAATCCAGCTCCTAGTGAAATTATTGGGAAGAGAATTTTAATGTAATACTGGTTTTTGGTCACTGAAAAATGCAATTTTGATAGGCCCAATTAAAACACATTTTCTGTCTTTTTAAGTAATCTTTAACATTGTGTTTTTTGTTGGGGTCTGGTATAGGAATCACAGCGGGAGTTGTAAATGCAGAAGCAATGAAGTCAACTTGGTACAAAGTTTCTTATTCAAGATTCTTCTTGAACAAACATGCTGTCAGTGTTTAAATGAATAAAAGATTAAATATAAATAGAGGTATAACTGGCAAGTTTAAATATTATAGTGCTATACTTTCACCTTGTCCAGAATAACTGTAAAAGTTCCCAGGTTTAGGAATTGTGGGAATGAGGGAAAGTAAAACAGTGAAAAATTGCCCATGTTATGAATACTAGTCTTGTTTTAACCAGTGTTTGCAGTAATTTTCCCAGACAGGAGCTGCAGGTGCAAGGAAATTACTTCAGATGTGAAACATTAATCAGTTTGCCTTTTTCCTTCATTTTGCTTGCATGCTTAGTAGATTTTTAATAGTAGCTTTATTTTAGTTGAGTTAGCAACAGATGAGTAATGCAAATCTGGAATCTTTGAGAAGGATTAAAAAAAATATTCAATTTTTCTTTTTATGAGAGAAAGCACTCACTAATTGCTTTGAGTGAACTTTAAAAATAATGACTGGAGTGTTTTGACTGTAAGTAAAAAGAAAGAAGTGCAAATTGCTGGTACTCCTAACAGAGTTAAAGCAGTTGTTCCATTTCATCTTGAAATAAAAATACCTTGGAAACTGGATTGTTTGTGGACTTTGATTTTTCATGTGGTTCTGTCTATTATAATGGCAACAAATTGACTTTTGACTAAAGCTAAATAGAGGCTCCATCACCTGGGGCTTACACTGTTAAGCTGTCTGGCATAATAATTGTGGCCTGATAATGAAACATATAGTGTGGGAGTCTTACTTGCTCTAGATGGGAAGTTGTCTCTTTGGAGGTGCAGTCTGGGATTGTCACCAAAAGCCAGAAGAATGTCTAGGGAAGGAATTCCAAATAAACAGGAAACTAGAAGGGTGCTCATTATTTCTTTTTCCCACCCAGAAGGGACAAATTAATATGTGCCACTTAGTTATGTAATTTACAAACTGCATGTTTTTTTAGGAATAGCTTAATTTTGAGTGGGTTATTCCTTCAAGGAACTGGATGCAAGTGTTTGCAGGTGAATGTCCATTTGGATCTATCACTTCAGTCATGACATTGCTGCTGTTTTTATCCACCCCATTATATTTCAGTCAGAGAATTTAAACAGAAGTATCTATTGGTTGTAGAGTACTTGAAATGCCTGGATTTGAGGTTTTAATATGAAGACATAATTTGTTTTTTAATATTGAATGTTATTTTTTTGGTATGTGTGATATGTGTGATCAGGGAGAGGTACTTGCCTGATTCTCCAAAACAGTTCATGGGTAGACACTTGCTGGCCATTGCTCAAGACAAAAGTTGGAGTAGTAATAAAACATATTTTGGTATGAAATAAAAGGTCTTCAAACACCACATATATCTAGTTAAAGCTTTAAGTAGCCTTCATTTCCAGTTACTTCTTTCAACCTAATTGTTACTTTTTGGGTCTCCTTATTCTTCTTTCTTTTAACTCAGATACAGTACATCCATTAACAGAACAAAGAAAATTTCTCCTTGATGTTAAATTCACAGTCTGTATTCAGATTTGATCTGCCCAGCAGAAGTCCAGTGTTAAAGCTGTGATTAAAGTTATTGGCTTCAGTCAAGACTAGGGTGAAAGTGGATGAGAGTCACCAGGGAATTTAATTGTAAGGGGCTAGCAGATCCTTAGTAAATGTATTGAATCATTTTTTCAGCGTTTTTTTTCAGCTTAGCTAAATGTCAATAGAATTCCACAAACTGCAGAATAACAATTTCTTTATATAAAGAAAAGTTGTTTTCTAGCCTTGGGGTCTCTAGCCAGGTAAGAACAACAGCAATATATATAAATGTGATATTATTTAATCAGTTTGTTAATATTGCAGCAGTATGGTAGCATGTAGTTTCTAACTTATATATTTTTTATACCTTCATTGAATTACTTGCAACAAAAACAAAACAAAAAAAACCCCAAACTATAATTTCCTTTATGGTCTGATCCAGAATTTAGTTATGATTAACATAGTCATCCACAAGTCTTTGCTTCAAAGTGTAAAATAACTAAAGCATCTTAAAGAAGGGGCATCAAATTTTAAAACCCCCCACATTATCCTCTGACTTTTCTCCTGGACACTTCTGAACCATTTCATCTGTGGAGAAAGAAAAAGTAGTCTGAGAGTAAAATTTCACTACAAATGGTTAAAATGACAAAATGATAAACAGCTGAAAAGTCAGACCTATATAATATAAGGTAAGTGCTAATTTGCTTTCCTACTCTGTTTAGGAGCATTGAAATATGAGCAGTTAAAATAAGATATGATGGATTAATCCTAATTTAAAGAAGGCATATAGAATGATAGTGCCTTTTTCTTGATATTTGGAAAACAAAGGAGAGGCTTAATTTCATAGTATAGTATACAGATTATAAAACCATCCACTGTGTGATTGATTATGAAAAGTTGATGGAATCTAACCAGGGAATCTAGCTTCATTAATGCATACACAGTGCAAATAGTGTGAAGGATAACCACTTCAGATTTACTATTCATACACTTTCAAAATAACTCTATGATCTTTCTTATACCATATTCTTTATTTGCATGTAAGCTTACTGTGTATCTCCAGCAAAACTTCCACAAGTGCAAGAAGACAGTAGTTCTCTGTTTATATAGAGAATAATGTAATGTTTACATACAGCAAAACTATGAAATAAAGGGATTTCACACGTCATCATCATCATGTCTGCAATACACTGTGACTGGGACAAAATTACTCCTGTCACAGTTAATGATGCTGTTCTTGCCACAGCAACAAAGCCCAGCACTATGTAATTTACTTTTTGTTATAAGCCACTGTAATTCAGCCTAAATCTCACTTAGAATCAAAAGAAGGAAGGCTTAACTGTGTTACCAGTAGTTTCAATTTGCAATTAGTCTTATTTTGATTCCCTAACAATGCCATACTCAGACAGAAAAACAGTATCTTTTGTTGACTATTATGGCATGGTCCATAAATAAAAGATTTCTGACTTTTAGGAGACATTCTTCAAGGCCTTAGAGAGCAACAATTTGCAATTGTTGTACAGTGCAGTCAGCCTGTACTTGTATACTGAAGTGAGGAACGTTATTAGCCTATGAAACTTGTGTCCACAAAGATTAGTATTAATAAAGTAGATGCATTAGTTTTATGAAACAGCATATAAATTAATAATTCATATTAATAAATCCTAGTATTATGTGATTGTTCAAAGGAGTGCATTCTGTCAAAGTGATTGTAATTAAAATTTTTGTGTAGAACATAGGGTACCAGAGAGCCTTTTCATGATATCAGGTGTAACTTTCTTAAGAGGGCTTATCATACTGGTATAAGTGAGGATGATAGTAATGCTCTTCCATTGGCATTGCATCGTCTTTGTAAAACCATAAAAGAAATTCTAGCTACCTTTTATTTGAAGAATTTACTCCTCAGGTGATGTGGTTATCAGCAATATTGCAAATTTTGTCACAGAATAAGGAGTAGATGTGGTCTAATCAGGCACGTCCACTAAGGAAGAAAGTTTTATGTAGTTATGTAATTAAGAACAATGTGATAACATAAGAACAGTGAGGAGAGCACAAACATTTACATTTGGTATTTCTTAACTTTTGTATGTAAATCTGCAGCCTTTAACAGTTTTAAATATAGTTATGTGGTGTCTATTATGGATAAAATAAGAGTAGGAATGTGGAATTGTGTTAAAATAGTCAGCAGGCTTTTCAAGCCCATATTCTTTCAATGCTGACACTCCTTGCTTGAATGAGTCGGAAAACTGACAATATAATGTATATTGTATAAATAACAATATACATTATGTTGTCATTAAATCATTATAGTGGATATATAAGCTTTTATAAGCTTTTCTTTATTATTCTGTTATTTATAGTCTTTAATCTCTCACTAGCAGTGAAGACACAGGGTTGTGGCTTCATAAACATACTAACTGTGCTTCTCTGTTCATTTTCCAGGATTTTCTTACCATGCTGCTGGAAGACATTCCTAAACAAAAACAGTAAGTAAGAACTGGGCTAGAAAAGCCAAATAAATATGTAGAAATAAGATTTTAATATGTGCTAGCCAGAAATAGTGCTAGCCTGAAGATTCCCATTACATATATACACAAAAAATTACGAGACTTGTGATTATCCTATACCATGCTCTCCCCAAATAGTGCCTTTAACTTGCATATCAGGTCAGAGGTGATGCTGTGTGTTCACTATGCACTCTGAAGTGCCAGGCATAGCTGCCTGCTCAAACTAACCTGTGATTCTCCTGCCAGCTACTTTTGGCACATGTTACCCTAGAACAAAGATGCCAGAACTTCTCTGTGAATCCGGGATACCAGAGAAGATGGATTTTTTCATGGAGTCTGGTACCATCAGCTCTCAGCCATAGATTGTGCTGCATGAGGAAAGATGGAAAACATGAATGTAAATTGAGTGTTAATTGCCTGAAATGTCCTTCAAAATACTCTTCTATGTGACTGTGACTCATTGAAGAAGATAGTCTTTAGCAGCACTTTGAAGCTTAAATTTTGTGCTGTTCTGTGATATTCTAGACTATGCTACAAATAAAGAGTTTTTTGTGGAGGAGCTTTACATGTTACAATTTTTAAAAATATTCACTTGAAAAATACAGTGCTGAAGGCTAGGATTGCAAAATTGTTCATAACTCTGTGTGAGTGCTTTGGAGTAAAAAAAGATGGTATACATAAAGGTCAAATGTATTGAGTTTTTTAGTGATACACTTCTGTTCCTGATGGCTGAGGAACAGAGAAGCTAGTTACCATTGAGAAAATATCTTTTGTGGCATCTCAGGTTTAGTTTCGGTGCTTTTACATTTTCCATTGATGTAGTGGATAATACTCTCTATGTATGATTCAATATAGCTTCTAGTCCACATATAATGAGGTATATTATATGAAATAGATGTGAAAGTGATTTTTTAAATGGTATGATTATACATTGGCATATTAAAAAAACTTTTGTTTTCCTTCCTTTTATTTTTTACTTGTTTTTCTCTGAACTATAAACCCAGTGTAAAATATTGTGTAAGCATCCCTTTTTCTGCCTAAAAACATACCTAAACTTTCAATGAGACTAATGCAAAAGAAGTGTGGCTCCATTTCTGATGCATCACATTCCAGAATGTATGAAAGAAATTTCAGATATATGGTAAATCATTTTACAATCATATATATAGCATATCTGAACTATCTATGGCCAAAATTACTTGGCAGATAGCAGCAGCAATGCAAGGCATCTTGATATACAGAAGACCTTTATTTCTTATCTGCTGGGACGATGTTTTTTTCATTTTTAATATATTCTGTGGCCAGTACAGAAATACTCACCTGAGGTAAAAGAAAAGGGAAGAAAGATAAAAACCAAGTATTTTTAGTGATCATCTGCTGATGAGTGATTTTTTGCACAAAGTTTGATGTAGGAATGAAGTGCATTTCAATATGAAAGCAAAAATACCGTGTAGCACGTAAAACATCTCAGGCTTGTGCAGTTCTACTGAGTAAAATTTAAACTGTTTAAACTACAGACTTCAAACTTGACAAATATTAAGCACATTAATACACTGTAGTTTGTGATGGAGGCTGGTCTTAATCATAATAATAAAAATAAAAATAAATAAAAATACATTTGTCGTAGGTAATCAAATCTTGTCCTCAGCTGTGGCAACAGGGGCAAACTATGTAGCTAGAAATAGAACTTGGCTTATGGGAGACTTTTGTAATGAGAACAGAATGAACATTGGCAGAAAACTATCATGAAACAGTGTGGAAATTTTCTGTAGTTATTACATTGTAGTAATGTAATTTTAGCTTTCTACTATTGGATACAGAGATTGGATCTGAAAAGTTCTCACCTCCAAGTACTTAATTCCTTTAGTTTTTATCCAAAGGAGATTTTTTTACTACACTCCCAGTGATGAGTAGCTCCAAGATCCAGATGTAACTTTCTATTGATTTTTGCTGCCTTCTGTACTTGGAGGAGGACAGTTCTATGCCTACTATACAGGGCTACTTCACTCTGACTCAATTATAATGGCATGTTAGCTGCAGGAATCCATGCTGTGAGCAGGAGCCTTCTGTTTCTGGACTGCAGCTGAATACTGACATCAGATAAGCTGAGCAGTACCTTCTGGTCCTTTATAATTTCTTAACTTACTTTTAAGGCTGATTATTTGTCTGAGTGAAGGACTAATGGAAAGAATGACAAACAAATATTGATCATTATCCTTCCCTGTTTACAAAACCTTTTAAAATACTGCGTGCACTGGCTAGAGTCTCACATTATCTCTGCCTTTCTTTCTGTGGAAAATCTACAATACTTCCCACCAAGAAGTTTTATTTACTTTTTATTTTATGCCACCAAGGCATTTTATTTACTCATATAATTTGAAACTTCACTACATTGAAACAAACCAAACCAAACAACCAAAATACCAAGAAACCCCCTCTTATGTGTCTGTATATCTGAATGCACTAGATTTTATAAAACTCCAGTGGCTATATTCTCCCCATAGTCTTTGCTGTAAGTTGATCTGTTCCACATCTGCCCAACATGTGAGCTGTGCAAAGAACCAGTGTTTACCCTTGTAACAGAGGGTTTCACTGGTCTTAGATAAATCAGAGTTGCTGCTTGTGCAGCTATGACTGCAAAATATTTTTGAGCAGGTCGGTTCTGCTCACAGGGGTTTTCTGCTGGTATTTTTTATTTAATTTCATTCAATAAAGCAAGCAAATCTACTAATAAGTGATGGTTTTAATAATTACATGATAGTCAAAGGAAGGCTTGTGTTATAGCTCTGCTATTTGTACTGCTAATAACCCAAGTTCACCAACCACATTGCTTGGATGTCTTCACAAATAGTAAATTAAGAACTAAAATAATGCTTCAATTTCAAATGATTCAGCTCTGTAGGTGTGTCTTTTTCTTTCACATTGACTTGATTCACATGCACATTGTTGTGAATGTGGTCATTTTGAATGAGACAAACGGCTGGTAGGCACCTAACTACTGAAGCAAATAATTGTGAAAAATTATTCCCACTGGTTTTCAGTGG